TGTGTACAGGTGATCATGTGTACAGGTGTACAGGTGATCATGTGTACAGGTGATCATGTGTACAGGTGTACAGGTGGTCATGTGTACAGGTGTACAGGAGATCATGTGTACAGGTGATCATGTGTACAGGTGTACAGGTGATCATGTGTACAGGTATACTGGTGTACAGGTGATCAGATGTACAGGTGTACAGGTGATCACGTGTACAGGTGTATAGGTGATCATGTGTACAGGTGATCATGTGTACAGGTGTACAGGTGTGCCCACCTGCAGATGATGCTCTTCATCTGACCATCCTTCTCCTCCTGCTGCCTCCTCAGTCTCTCCTCACTGTCCTCCAGGCGGTTCTTGTAGTCCAGCAGCAGTTTCTGCATCTGCTGCTCCTGAGCCAGCAGCCGCCGCTCGTACTCCTCCAGGCGGCGCCCGGACAGCCGCAGGCGGTCCTTCAGCCGGGTGATCTCCAGCTCGTACTGCAGGAGGACCAACCAACAGGTCAGAGGAACGTTCTTCTTCTGTGGTTCTGCTCCACAGGTGAGAACAGGTGTACCTTCTCAGTGTTCCTGCCTTCGTCACGGCTCCGCTCTCCTCCCTCCTCTTCCTCGTCGTACTGCCCGTTGTTGAGGACCCACGCCGCCGTGCGCTCCACCGGAGACATGGCCACCGCCTCCACGGGCGCCGCCACCTGCACACAGACCGATGACATCATGACAGACTGACCTGGACCAATAAGAGGGCGACGTTCTCAAAGCTCTGCATACCTGCGTCGACTGCTTACTGATGCTCCTGGGGGGCGGAGCTACGTTCTCCACTGACGGCTGGCGTTTTGTGGGCGGGGGCTCGGTGTTGGCGCTGCTGCTGCTGCGAAGCGAAGCGCTCTGTGGCTGCGAGCGCGGCGCCCTGGCCCCGCCCCCTGCCCTGCTCTGCTGCTCCACCTTGATGATGTGGGCGGTGCCTGCCGTCGTGCTCTGACGGGGGACGGCCGTGGCCGTGGCCGCGCCCAGCGGGAAGTCTGCGGGCAGGTGGCGTCTGGGCGTGGAGCAGTCCTCGCTCTGCGTGCTGCGCCTGCTGCCCGCCTCGTCCAGGCTGCTGTTGGACGCAGCGTGACCTCTGACCCCGCCCCGGCTGCACAGCTCGTCAGAGTGGCTGTGGCTGTCATGCGAGCTCTCCGTGCTCAGGTTCTCGGAGCTGGAGTCCCGCTGCGGCGAGTGGGCGGAGCGTGTGGCCAGGCTGTGGGCGGGGTTACTCAGCTGGTAGACGGGGTTCTGGAAGGACAGAGGCTGCAGGCTGCGCTGCTGGCTGAGCGAGGCGTGGAGCGGACGCCGTGTCTGCGGCGCGCTCTGCGGCGCGCTCTGCGGCTGCCCGTCTCTGGGCGGGGCTTTGGCCTGGTGCGGCGCCGGCTGCGGCGTGACCAGGTTGGAATGGGGGTAAGTTACAGGGGGCGGGGCATGACCGATGGAGGTCTGGGAGCCCACCCTGCTGAGGCGGGGCGGAGCCTCGTGGGGCCCCGCGGAGCCGTGGAGGCTCTGAGAGTCCTGCAGGTCCACCAGAGACACGCTGCGCCCGTTGGCCAGCAGAACCTCTGGCTCCTCCTGATCCGAGAAGCTCCTGTGGGCGGAGCCATGCTGCTGAGCCAGCAGGGGGCGCTGGATCCGAACGTAGCCCTCCATCCTGTCACTGCCCAGAGACTGAAGGCTGCGGACCTCACTGCGACTACAGGAAGTGAAAGATCGATAAAAAACATCTTTCAAAATAAAACTAAATAAACAAAATAAAATTTAATAAAATATCTAAAGATCAGAAGTTTTACAGCTGTTTGAATTCTCTTTGATTTCGACTGATTGATTACCTGTCGACTGACTTATTACCTGTCGATTACCTGTCGGCTGATTGATTACCTG